GAAAACCTAAGAAACAAGTAAAACTATTAAGTGTTAATTATAAGCGCGCGCGCATAGCAGACATCTCGCCCTTGTTTGGTAGAGGGTTTTCTAAACTTTTATGTTATAACTATAAAATCAAAATCCATAACAGGCATTTAGATAAACTTTATTATAAAACCTGAATTATATTAGGAAATTCTGTGGATTTTGGTCTTTAATTAAATAAATAAATAAATTCACTTATTGAAAATCGTTTGCAACTTCCTCACATTTTATTAATGAAACCACTATTATATATAAATTATTAATATATATTGTCACAAACACTCTCGCAACGGAACCGCGAAAGTGCTAGAGATCGAATGTGCCAGAGCACCGCGGGTCGCGATAGAGGTTGAGTAATGCGGCTCATTCTAAAATGAGCCTTATGCAGTGCGGCGTAAGGGAGAAAGTGCAACGACATCTGCATTTGTTTACAAGTTATGCGAGTTACCTGCGTAGGTATAAGTAGGTACTTTGTACTCGCGGGTGCTTGCTAACTCTCAATTTAACAGGTACTTTCTAGAATGCGTCGATCGGCGTATATAAGCGCGATTGGCGCCGCGCAGTGACAGTTGAGTTTCAACAGCGATTTCGGAGCGAATCCAAAGGCGATCAAAGTGCAACAAAGGTGTTCAAGTGCGATTGTTTAGAGACTTGTAGAGTGTAATACAGTGTTTAGTGAGTTTTGTAATTAACATTGTGTGTTAATTGTGTTAACTGTGTGGTGAATAAAGAACTGTCAAGCGTGAACTGGCATATAATTTCGAACCCTATCCCGACACGTAACAATATAAAGCGTTTAATATTAGTAGTCATTATTGAAGTGAAACTTCTTTATCGGCGTTGGAAAAAAATTTACCGTCACATTTTTCGGTTACGCGTCACATTTTTTGGTTACGCGCCATCTTTTTTTTGGTAATAACAACGACGATGAACATATAAATGAAATGAAATCTTGTTTGTATTCATGTCTATGATAATAAAATCCTTTTGTTTAAACTTTACCTAATTTAACTTTATTTAACCAATTTCTGGAAAGTTGCATGTACATCATTTTTCGAAAAATAAGGCCTTAAAGAAGTTTCACTTCTTACGTGTGTACACTAGTACACGCACACATTTTTTTTTTATGTCATGGATGTTTAATATGTATTTTATATAAAAATATACTATATGTATCAGTATATGTATTCTATCCGTTACCCTAGTAAACCATAACACAATCCTACAGTGCTTACTTTGGGGCTAGGCTAATTGGTGTGAAAGTTGTTTTTGTATTATTATTAAGTTTAATTATCGTCATGTGAACAACTGTCTCATATACGGGAAAATCGTAAACGTGATAAAATCGTATCGTATAATCATCGTCTGAACGTAGGCTTATAGTCTAAGTGGAAGTGCAACCATTGAAAAGTCCCACTTAGTGTAAAGTCAAACTGAAATAGAACGCCAAGTTCTGTAAATATACAAATACTAGCGGCCCGCCCTCGCTTCGCTTCGGTGTAGAGCTGAAGTGTAGACTACAGCTTTTGTTTTTTAGGCTTGTATTATACACAATGACATTCATCTATGATTCTTCTTATACCTGCATGCAAAGTCTCAGCCCGATCGGTTTAAAATTGACAAAGTTTCATACAAACTTTCATTCCCCATTTTATCCCCTTGGGGGTAGAATTGATCAAAATCCTTTCTTAGCGGATGCCTACGTCATAACATCTATCTGCATGCCAAATTTTAGCCCGATCCGTCCAGTGGTTTGGGCTGTGCGTTGATAGATCACTATGTCAGTCAGTCACCTTTGAGTTTTATTTATATAGATCAGTGGTTCTCAAACTTTTTAAATGACGGAACCCTTTTGGGAAGCAAAATACTTGATGGAACCCTACAATAAAACAATTATTTTTATAAGTGTATTCTATATTAATCAGCATAATAAAAGTACAATGTATCCGTTACTAATTATTATTTACTTCACCACTTGGTAAGGACAATAATAGAAAACATTAAAAAAGAAAAAATCTAACTAGTGGGAGGTATGAAACTGTTTTTTATTTTTCATCAATTGCTTGATATCAGGTTTGATGGAAGAAAGTTGGAGTCTCATATCAGCTTCGGCGTCCAGTCTATTGCGATATTTTGTTTTCGTGGCTGCGTAGGTAGAGAATCCTGTTTCGCACAAATATGTAGTTGGGAACGGGAGAAGAATATCCAGAGCCATTTGGCCAAGCATTGCATATTCATCTTGGATTCTGCACCAAAAATCATTAAGAGGCGTCGTTTTGAACAATGACTCCATACTTGTGTCTGATGACATTTCTAAAAGAGATTCATATATCTCATTTGACATGTTTTCAGGCTTTTCCAAGTTGGGTAAAAAAGGATTATGAATCCAGGAGTTCACTTTAATTTTTGTATTGTGTTCTTCGGGAAAATACTTTTCAAAAGATGCGCGCATCGAACTGAGATATTGGACCAATTCTTCAAACACATTATCTTCAAACATTTCTGAGTCGTTTTCGCTAACAAACTCAGTGAGTAACGTAAAACTTTCTATTTCTTTCTTACCAATGCAAATGATCCAAAAATCTAATTTTCTTTTAAAAGTAGTTATTTTATTATAGGCCTGAAACACTGTTGTCTGTTTACCTTGCAATGATAAATTTAATTCGTTAAGTTTTTGAAAGATATCCGCCATAAAAGACAATCGGAACAACCAAGTTTTATCATACAAACGGTCCTTCAAATTAAAAGAAGTATCTGCTGAAAGAAACATTTGTAACTCGGCTCTAAGTTCAAATAGCCTTGTTAAAGTTTTTCCCCGAGACAGCCATCGCACTTCTGTATGGAGCAGCAGTGTTTTATGTTTGCTGCCATAATCTTCACACAATAATGAGAACAATCGGGATTGTAGTGGTCGTGATTTGATAAAATTAATTATTTTTACCGCTTCATCCATAACTAATTTTAGATTAGACGGCATTTGCTTCATCGCAAGTGCTTGTCTATGCAGAATACAATGACTGGAACTACAATTAGGCGCTTTATTTTTCATTCGTGACACTGCTCCTGCTGTTTTACCTGTCATCGCCTTGGCCCCATCTGTACAAATGTCAATGCAATTGTTCCAACTGAGATTACGTTCTTCAAAAAATATATTTATTTTATTAAAAATTTCTTCCCCGGTAGTGTTTGTAAGCAGCGATGAACACATAAGCATGTCTTCTTCAAAAGAACTTTTATATGGATATCTCACAATAACCAGCAGGATAGCCAAACCAGCGACATCAGTCGACTCGTCCATTTGCAAAGCGAATCGTGTATTTTGTAGACGTGTAACTAGTTCTTGTTTGACGTAGCTTGCCAGATCATGGATTCGTCGTGAAACAGTATCGTTTGATAGCGGAACAGTAGAAAGATGCTTTGCAGATTTTTCATCAAGCATACATTTTGTTATGTCTAATACACATGGTTTTATTAATTTCTCAGCGATAGTGTGCGCTTCACCTGCTTGTGCAATGCGATAGCTAACTAAGTATGATGCCTCCGTGGCCTTTTCGTTGGTAGTTTGTGTTACATGCATCATATTTTTTTGACTTTCTAATAACTGATCTTTTTTGCGAACAAAAAATTCTTTATTCTTGTCTTTAGTCTCGGGGTGTACGGTTTCTAAATGTCGACGCAATTTGGCAGGTGCCATGGAACTATTAGGAAGCAGTTTACTACAGAGCATGCAGAGAGGTGAGCCGTTGGAATCAACAAATCCGAAACTGATATAAGATTCATCATACTTCCTTTTTTTCGTCTTTGAAACCGTCGAGCTTGACGTCGTGGCACTCGTGGCATCATCTTCTGGATCGGTGATTGCTAAATTCTCCGCGCGCATTGCTTTTGAACATTCAGCGTCATTAGAAGATGTTGTTGGAACACGTTTAACACCTTTAAGCCAACGTTCCATTCTTCTTTATTTATAATGTTACAAGTCAGGATAGTGGGGTTTAAATAATGCACAATCGTTACTGCGTATAAGAGACTAAATTTAGAACCTACAGGGAAGAAATGTATAAAACTGAGACAACAGAATACAGCAGGCAGTAAAACAATGAACACCAGTTTCTCGCTAGCGAGCTTGTAAGTAGGTAGTAACTTATCGCTCCGAACGCTAATCATCAACTGACGACGCCAACGCGCGATCGCCGCTTTTATACTTAGTCCTAGACTCGATCTCAAATATTCTCGAAAATACTCGAGTCGGCACCTTTGATAAACAAAAAGCAAAAATAAAAACAGAAATTTAAAAATAGCGTTGTAAACAATATCGACTTTATCCTTTGAAGTTAGAGACGAAAGTCGCTAGTTGACAACTATAGCGTCTAATTCAGAGGCGGCTTTTATCAAAGAGACTGAGCGCTTACAAGTATACTACCCGCTCGTTTTAAGTTTGCCGCTGGCGATAGGTATGAGTGTATGACGTTCGAAATTTTTTATTTAATTGTAACAATAAAAATTGTGTACGTTAGATATTTGGGTAAAACTATGACACATTATAAGTTTTGTTGTCACGTGGGGGAGGGTACGCGCATTCCACAGACCGGCAAACTTAGAGCGAACGCGTTGTACAAGTATAAAATTGTTGAGACCAAACTTATGAGATATTGTACCAGCTAATGTAACACAAGCTTATACAAATACAAATAAATAAATAAATAACATTCATAGCGTTTTGTCTCCGCGCGGCCGCGGAGTCCGCACAGCCGCGGAGCGACCAGAGAGAGGTGTTTTGATTTTTTTATTTCTAAATTCTTGCGGAACCCCGACAGAGGTATCACGGAACCCTAGGGTTCCGCGGAACACACTTAGAGTATAGCTGATATAGATTATCGTAAATGGTACAAATCACGGACAAAAGTAATAAATTTTACAACTTAATCATTAAAATATTAATGATATAAAATCAAATAATTGTATTCTGAACTTTATTAGTTTAGGAATAAAGTGGTATCTACCTTGCTAGCCCTGTCGACTACAGGTTCTCCAGGTTTCGGCCGTGGGATGGCAGGCGGCGCCACTGGGCTTAGTTCCGACCAATTCGGGTATTCGATGTCACCTGTGTGTTTGATGTAAATATATTGATATTATATATTACTACTATCAGCCTCTATCAGGCTATTAATCTACAAACAGGGTGCTACAAAAATACAAATAAAGCTTGAACGGCGTTGAAGTACATCATATAAGATCATCATCATATATGATTAATAAAAATATCGGTCATTTCAAGACACGTCACTACTTTTTATAAAAAGCTCGATGGCGCAACTGGTTAGCGCGTTCGGCTGCGATCGTTGATGAAAAACAACTTTCGCAGTGGTCGGTCATTGGAGGGGTGACCAAAAATTTACTATCTCGACGATGGGCGACTGGGGCACAGGCCTTCCCTATGGATGGAATAGGGAGATTGGGATATGACCCCCCACGCGGACCCATTGCGGATTGGCGGGTGCTAATGACTGCAGGTGAAGCCGGGACCAACGGCTTAACGTGCCTTCCGAAGCATGGACGAGCTCGAGATAGTAAATTTTTGGTCACCCATCCAATGACCGACCACTGCGAAAGTTGCTCCACTCAATAGATACTGACCAAGCATATCGTCCAGGTCTGTATAGTGGCGGGGCGGGGCCGCCCTGGGGTTGGTGGTGAGGGCGGGGTCCTCAATAGATACTGACCAAGCATATCGTCCAGGTCTGTATAGTGGCGGGGCGGCTCCGCCCTGGGGTTGGTGGTGAGGGCGGGGTCCTCAATAGATACTGACCAAGCATATCGTCCAGGTCTGTATAGTGGCGGGGCGGCTCCGCCCTGGGGTTGGTGGTGAGGGCGGGGTCCTCAATAGATACTGACCAAGCATATCGTCCAGGTCTGTATAGTGGCGGGGCGGCTCCGCCCTGGGGTTGGTGGTGAGGGCGGGGTCCTCAATAGATACTGACCAAGCATATCGTCCAGGTCTGTATAGTGGCGGGGCGGCTCCGCCCTGGGGTTGGTGGTGAGGGCGGGGTCCTCAATAGATACTGACCAAGCATATCGTCCAGGTCTGTATAGTGGCGGGGCGGGGCCGCCCTGGGGTTGGTGGTGAGGGCGGGGTCCTCAATAGATACTGACCAAGCATATCGTCCAGGTCTGTATAGTGGCGGGGCGGGGCCGCCCTGGGGTTGGTGGTGAGGGCGGGGTCCTCAATAGATACTGACCAAGCATATCGTCCAGGTCTGTATAGTGGCGGGGCGGGGCCGCCCTGGGGTTGGTGGTGAGGGCGGGGTCCTCAATAGATACTGACCAAGCATATCGTCCAGGTCTGTATAGTGGCGGGGCGGGGCCGCCCTGGGGTTGGTGGTGAGGGCGGGGTCCTCAATAGATACTGACCAAGCATATCGTCCAGGTCTGTATAGTGGCGGGGCGGCTCCGCCCTGGGGTTGGTGGTGAGGGCGGGGTCCTCAATAGATACTGACCAAGCATATCGTCCAGGTCTGTATAGTGGCGGGGCGGCTCCGCCCTGGGGTTGGTGGTGAGGGCGGGATACTTCAGCAGCCAGTCTTCGAATCCTCCCGCTAGAGCCACGGGCTCACGGGCGTATTGCACTTTCACGTCCCACTGCCCAAAACAAAACTTTATAAAACAAGTAACATACAAAATATAACTATAAAAAAATCCACGCGGACTAGCCAGCAGACGGGACTTGAACCCGCACCCTTCGCCATCCGGGCCAATGCACTGACCGATTATGCTATTGTGGGTTACCCAATGCGAAGAGATGGCGCTGCCTTGCAGTTGAAAAATGGCTAGAAGAATTTCGACGCGGCCATCAGGGCCGCGGTAGCATAATTGGTCAGTGCATTCGCCCGGATAGCGAAGGGTGCGGATTCGAGTCCCGTCTGCTGCCTGGTCCGCGTGGATTTCTTTCTAGTTATGTTTTCTTTAGATTTAAACATCAAGCAGTAACATGCTTAAAAAATATAACAAGTAACGGTAACAATCCCGTTAATAGGTATAAAGGTAAAGTATATAACTTAATTAATAAAACACTTTTCTAAAAAAAATAGGTGTGGATTTCACCGTCATCTAACATCAGGTGGCGCGGAGTTATATGTCGGACCAATCTAGAAAGAAAAAAAATGGGTGCGTGTACTTATGACGACTCTGTATATAATACAGGGAGAAAAAAACAGCCCTTGCTGAGTTTCTTGCCGGTTCTTCTCAGTACAAGGTCTCCCGCCGTAGATTTGCGAACCGATGGCGTAGCTTTTCGACATTCACAAGTGCTTGTAACAGCCTAGACTGAATAAACGATATTGAATTTTGAATTTTTTTTTATGTAGGCGCGTGAGAAGTTATCCTTCTTTGGCATCGTTTAAAATTAGTTTTTAATTGCATGCAAATAATTAATTACAATAAATTAATAAGAAGTCTGGAAAAGGACACAGTCAATAAAGTTCAGTTTTAATTTAAATAAATAAATAAATAATCACAATATTCAATTAAAATCGCTACTGAATATAATAAATTTGCACTTGTATGAAACTCAAACACGTATTCCGAATATACAAACTAGAAACATGTGGATAAATATTATAAATATGAATACCTATAACTGTTACTTTATTACAAAAAATAAAGATGTGGTTTTTGATTCTACTACACCAATGGTCAAGAGATGGCGCTGTAGCCTCCTGAATCGCGCTTTGGTTCCGTTGTTCCAGATTAATAAATACTTTTGATAGGCCTTCACAATGCAGTCGTTAGCACCCACAAAATAGAGATTCTATTTATATTTTGTTGGTAGATTTTCTTAATGTGCGGTAAACACAAAATTTTGTTTACCAACTAGCATACAGTTCGCATGCTTCGCGGGCAGCCCAGGTTCGATCTCCAGCCGAAAGTAAACAAAACTATATTTGTCCGACAATTAGACTCAAAAAATAATGCACATTTATTTATTATTGTGTAAATCAATCAAAAAATTACGAAGATAAAGCGCGTCAGAGTTTGCGAGGAGGAGCTCGCATGTCACTTTTAAGTAAAATCTTTACGAAAACGTGACGTCATGCGATATTTTCTCTCTTAATGTTTTGCTTATGTGAAAAAAAAAGTCCAATACTTTTTTTGATAATCTACCTGGTCGATAAAGAAATAAAAGTTAAGTCTTCATCCCTATTATGTTGAATGCCGTGTATGACCACAATAAATGGAATGCTCTGCCCGCTCACGTGTTCCCTCCCTCTTAAAACCTGGGATCCTTTAAAAGAGGCGTGAAGAAGCAACATGCAGGCCGGCAGGGTGAGGGCGGCTGGTGTGGCAGGTACAACTGCTGTATCAGCTATCTTCGCGTCTGGACTTCACCGTCACTTAACATCAGGTGGGGTGGAGTCATTCGTCGGACCTATTAATAAAAAAAATAAAAAAAATGGTTGCCTGTAAAGTCGGTTTTACGGGCGAAGATTTTACGTGACAACGTCTTTTTCTCGGTAGAATATTTATTGATATGAATATAATTAAATTGCACAATAGGAACAAGGAATTGAATGAAAATTAGAATTGCACAAATTTTAACTATAGAAATATATTTTGTTTACTAAAACATTGTACATGTAAACTTAAACTTAACACGAGAGACTCATCGTAACGTTACCGAGCGTTACACTTTTTCATAAGTGACTCCCAGCCGCAACCTAATTTAAGACGTTGTCACGTCAAAAAACCGCTCGATGGAAGCTCCTACTTACTTAAGTCTTAAATTTTATGAAAAACTAATTTCCGTAACCATACCTTGAGCAGTATAGTTTTGAGCAGATGCAACGTCTTCCCAGGTATGACCGCAGTACTGCTCCAGTCCAGCATCACAATTAGCTCCATGGAAGCCCGCTCGGCCCAAACCGGCTTGGAAGCAGGAGGCAAGCCCTGCTCCAACATATTGGCCGACTTTCTGTGTAATATCGACTGACATTGATTGATCTTTGTAACGTTACTCTTAAGAAAAAATTCACTTTTCCTAACTGTCTCACTCAGAAAAGTTTATCTTTGGTGCCATTATGTCAAAAAGTAACCTAAAATTGTATCTATTGTATTCACCCTAGATACACCAACACGAACAAAATTGTGCCCGAAACCTGTCCAAAAGGTACATTGGACGATCCACGGAGCTCCGTAAGATGATCGCGTAGTCAAAATCAATATAAGGCATTATTTAAATATTGAAACTAACCTTAAATACACACTGTATAAGGTCTTAAATAAAACGCATGCGTCAAGGACTTCTGACAGTTCGAAATGCAAGCTTGTAAAATTTTACGACTTATTGCTATATGCGGAAGAATTTAGACCTTAGTTCTTTGACTCTACGCGCAATTCTGAACGCGCTGTTAGCAATATAGCTGGCACGGGCCCCGAGGAAAAGAGACGGCTATATGGCGACGTATAACCGACCATGCATTTGAATTACACAAATATTTTATATTAAATCAGTTTATAGTTAGTATTAGATTAAAATTTACTTCAAATGCGTTAAATTAACAAATATTGACTAGATACCTGTCGAAAAAAGGACACTTTTTGTACTGTAAGTATTATTTTCGCATTTTTTCGTGGAGCTCTGTGGCATCTTGACTTTGTAACGGTCCGCGCATGACTGTGAACCAAGAAGTGTTTGAGTGGTGTTCAAGCACTTCTTGATTGGGACACATTTTGAGCGCTCATAGTGTATCTAGGGTATTTAATATCGTTGCATTCACGCTATCATACTAAACCAAGACGGTTAGTTAAACAATGTGGTAATCCATACAAATTGCCAAAGAGTAAGTTTGAAAAAAATATAAATACATGTAAATATAAACTTATGAACTTGTTTTTATCTGAATTCACAGATACCTGGTTCCTATTGAAAAACCTTTTATAAAACCAAAACTCTTAAACTGAGGAGCTGGCGAACAAAACAGTGTAATTACATAAAATTGAATATATAGGAGCTGTATAAAACTGAATGACAAACCTCCAGTGAGCTTTTGGCATGGTTTTTAATTTATAAATTTGGTAATTTTAACACTAGTTTAGGCAGTTTTGATTGAAAAAAATTTGAGATTCAAATTCAACGGGCCCAAAACCTCCGGACTGTAAAAAAGAAGTAGTTTGAACAGATACATAATTATACCGTTTTGTTCATCAGCTCTTCAACTATAACAGAAATCTTTTGGCATTGATGAGGTTTGGTTTTACGAAACAATAGAGATATAGACTACCAGTCTAAAATCAAATCACATACCGAAGAATAAAATGCTAAACTTTAGTACCTATATTTATAAACAAAATTGTAAATAAAACTAGTTTTCACAGGTCAATGAACGAAACTTTATTTATTTATTGACGTTTCGCAGCCCTTTAATGATATGTAATGATTTTTTATTTAATTTTGTCGAGCTACCTTCGAAAGACTTTTATTGAGCGTTCAGTTATTTCATTGTTAGATTTTTTAAATTTTATTGTCTATGTATGAATTTATTACTTAATATAGTTAATAAAGCACTTTATTTTAACAAAATTGTATCTCTCCCATGTGGCATGCAATAACTACTAAAGAAAAAGAAAAACAGATTGAATTTAAGTAAATAATGATTTGTTATTTAATTTTTAAGCTTAGGTTTAACCTTAAAGTAACTTAAAGTACTGTCAGAAGCAAACCATACCCTGGTGAGATGTTCTCTTCTGGTACACTGATGCAAGCCTGGTGATTGATGTGTGAATCTATGTAATCTTTGCCAGGTCTCGCGTCCAGTATCATCACCTTCAGCTTGCCGTTCTTCAGGATTGTGTACAGCTGCTCACTCCTGATAGTCACCTCGTCCAAACCTGTTACCAGTTGTCAAATAAAAAAAAGAATTTATATATACGACGACGACCTCCGTGGGTCGAGTGGTTCGTACGCGGTTCGTACGCGGTTCGTATTCGTACGGTTCGAATTCCGGTGGGGGCAGATGTTTGTGTGATGAATACGAGCATTTGTACACCAGTTATGGATGTTTAATGTGTATTTCTAGATAAATATACTTATATATGTACAGTATATGTATTCTATCCGTTACCCTAGCATCCCATAACACAAGCCTTACAGTGCTTACTTTGGGGCTAGGCTAATTGGTGTATTTATTGAGTAATAAAATTTGTCACAAGTCTTTCCTTTTCCATTCTTTATAGAGTATGGTATGAAGAAGAAGTATGGTAATATTTAGAAAGAATACAAAACCATATTAAGAAGGAAGTAATTTCAAAATGTACAAATTTTTCGCTCCTGTTCTTCTTATCTGTTTAATTGTGTGTGTGTGTACTAAATTAGTAAATGAACCAATAAAAATATACATGATTCTTTTGTTTCATACTGATAAGTGTTGTCTTTGACACAAATAGGTGTTGCTCTGGCGGTCTAAACTAGTGAGATTGCAGATTTAATATTTTAAAAAACCTTTACTCATTTAACATTTTTTTTGAATTCAATTATAGAGTTTTTATAACAGTCCAGTTTAAAAATTATCAGTTTGTTCTTTTGACAATGAATAAATTTTCTTCTTCCATTTCACCTATCGCTAGCTATTTTCAATCAGAAAGTTTCATATTTAATATATTTATTATTAATTTTTTTTTCACTTTTATCAAATCCTAAAATTACAATTTATTTATAAATGGATCATGAAATAAATGAATGATGAATCATGAATGAATTACCAAAAAAAAAAACAATTTGCCAGATTTGTATGAGAATGCCATTTGAGACAATGTTTTTAATGTCAAATTAAAGAATACTTAAATGTAACTTATTTAAAATGTTTCATACAAATGTCACTATTTTAGACCCTCTGCTTTAAATAAATAATAAAACACACAGCCCTAAAATTATATTAATTCCTAAAATGCAAGTTCAAAAGGGTATATTACTTGGTAATCCCAAAGTAGGCGCAGGATCTACAAGAGACACTGTCTCCATAGCCTTCTTTCTATTTTCTTCTATTTTCTGTTTGATTAACTCATTCTCTTTGATATCATTGAGCCTTTGAGTCTTTTGTTCTTTTTCATATCTGCAAATTATCAGCCATAAGTTAAATAAAACTAGTTTTGATTTTATTTATTTTTTAAGCATTTAACTGCTAGATGTTTAAATCTTAAGAAAAGTTTACTAGAAAAAAATCCACGCAGACCAGGCAGCGGACGGGACTCGAACCCGTATCCTTCGCTATCTGGGCGAATGCACTGACCATTATGCTACCACGGCCCTATTAGCCGCGTTGAAATTTTCCTAGCCTTAAGCTGCAAGGCAGCGCCATCTCTTCGCATTTTAAGTAACCCACAATGTCAAATGAATACTTTTTCAAGTATTAAACATTTGAAAGAAGAAATAGCAATTATAATTATGATTTTATTTATTTTTTAAGCACTTAACTGCTAGATGTTTAAATCTTAAGAAAAGTTTACTAAAAAAAACTAGTTTTAACAGGTTAATTCACGAAACTTTATTTATTCATTGACGTTTCTTAGCCTTTTCAGGTCTGCCTCATCAGAATACTGACCATGAATGATGGGTGTCAAAACCTAAGAAACAAATATGTTAGCCATAAGTTATTATACTTTTGGTACCATTAAACATGTTATTGGTTTATGAATTTCATCAGGCAGTAAAACTATTCTACGATTAGCTTTAATTAGGTGAATTGTTTTAACTTTGTGAGTTGAATAAATAAACAGGTCTGTACATAATGTAATGTTTTCCTGGATTATTATTAGAGGCAATTTAAGTTCTTAATATTTGTAAAACTCACCTTTCTATGAGGCTGTTTTTTAATTTCTCAGCAGCATCAATTGCCTTGTTTGGATTTTTAGAACCAAGCATGTTGTTGAAGTAAGACTTGTCTTTCTGGTACTCCTTATCTTTGGTGATAAAAGCAATAATACGCAAGTATTTCATATAATAGACATACGAGTACTCCTCATCGCCGTTTTTGTAAGCCTCTTCAGCACTATCAAACAGCTTTTGAGCTGATTTGCATAACCTTTGAACAGAAAATGTTTATGATTAGCAGTTGTCGATTCCGAATCGAACTAATTATTGATATGAAGATTGTGAACTTACAATGTAGCTCTTTTTGTTTTCAAATCTGGTAAATTGTACAGTTTATCCAAATCCTCTATACATTTTCCAAGGTGAAGCTGTATTCTTCTAGTTTCCGTCATATTGAATTTCTTGTTCCGTCTAGGATAGCCGAAGAATTTTGTAAAGAATAATCGATGTGAATGACACTGCACACTACATTTGATATAAAATACAACAAGATTGCTGTGAAATTTCACTAGAAACAAAAATTCACGACTTATTTTATTATTGGAAAAACGTCATGTTTTTAGATTGACATATCGTTCTGTCACGCCTGCCTGTCAGTTTGTGGTCAATAGATAAAAAAGAAGTATAGTTTAATTGAACATTCAATTGAGTAAAGATGAATATTTTCTAATTTAAACAGAATCATTAAAATGGTTTGTTTTTTTTATTCTAATTATTAATAATATAGTGCTATGTATCAAAGTATCGCATATTATTTATCAAAGGAAAATTATTACAACGTTACGTTACATTAGTTTCTCTTCATGCATCACCGATTCAAGAAGTGACTCTCTTCTAAAAAGGCTCTACTTAGATTATTATTATTATTTCAATGAGTTTAAATAGCACAAAAATGCAGAATAGAATGCAAACCTTGTAAATTTGCAGCAGCAAACAAAGCAACATATATTTGACATTACTTCTATGTTTTATCTGTGGAATGACGTTTCTTGTATGTACAAGAAACCAAAGAGGTTTCAGTAGAGTAAATTATGGGAGAATACGAAAATCTATCGTAAAACAGACGTAATAAGAGCTATTATTTAACAGCTGACGATGACTGTTTTCCTCGTAACTTGTAAGGTCCAATTTGATCCCAATAACGCAAGTTTTCATGCGCAGTGGAATCCCAATTTTCCTGGTCGATCGTGGTTTTCATTTAGTTTTTCAGCTGATCACGCTTTCTGCTGGCGCATCGCAGACTGTCCGCGGCGTGGGTCATGTGCGAAACTGTCGCAGCGTTGTGAAATCGCTGAGTGATTGTGTTGTGTAGTTGTTTAGCTAGTGCCAGTGATAATGTTTTCAGGGCTCACGAATCAGGTCAGCTCGTGGATGGGGGCTGCGAAGGGCGAGCCTCAAGATGAAGAAGTGCCTACCCCCACGAAAGAAGCGACAGTGGAAACCGCAGCAGAGGGTGAAAAACTGAGGTGTGGAAATGTTTGTTTACATATTTTCCACTGGGTTTTCGCTCAGATAAAATTTTGCAATAAAGTAAAATTTTTGCGTAATCACTTGCTACGATAATTAAGATTTTATGACTCTACATTTATGACGGGTTGTAATGATTATTCTTGTTTTTTAGTACTTTTATAAACAGCCAATGTATTATTTCCTAAAAAGAGTTAAAATGTTGAATAATGATAATTCCTAAAACAGATAATAACTGTTTAGTAGGGAAAAAGAACAATAAGAATAGGTAATAGCTAAAATGGATTCCCAAGTTTGATAAAATTTAATTAATTGTCATCAAAAACTGATCTAAATCTGATTAGGAATATGAGATAAAGATTATTAAAGATTCCATTTTTTTATACTTTTAGTAGGTATATAATAATGAATGGGTGAATTTACATGTACGGCATTATGGTCATTAATTAGCTTTATGAAAGGTCAATTCTGATTTTAAGTAGATTAATACTAAGACCATTGTTAAAATATAAAAGAAAGAAAAGATGTTCCAAACTTATGTATTGTATTGTAAATGGTGTCAATTCTGGCATGATTCTCTAAACGTAAAACTAAATTTTAGTCTCTCCTTTTCATTTAGTATCGAGAATGACAATGTACACTGTTGTCAAATTTAAAGTTTATGTTTAGAAAATCATACCAAAATCTACACCAATTGCTTATCAAATTTATTTATTTTTTTGATTGCAGTCCAACTAAAGGAGGCAGTAAACTGGATCTTATCACCAATGTAAAGTCACAGATGACTGGTTGGCTCGGCTCAGGTATACCCATACCGGGACTGAGGAAAAACGAAGTGCCACCAGCAGACGCCGAGCCTGCCCCAACGGAGCCCGAAGTCCCCGAGCTAAAACCAGAGAAGGACGATGACGATAACTCTAGGTATAATAGGTACGAGGGGTTAGCGGAAGCGATGAGTTTATTTAATATTGCTTGTGCTGGTGGTGTTGGCCTTAATCATATTATAAAATAATAATAATAATTTATATTAATGATATGTAATTGAATATTCAAAATCTTTGCTTATTGTCATACTATGAGAAGAATAGCAACATGCACTATTTTTTATATTTTATTCATCATTAAATCAGTGGGCTGGATTCTGCTTCTTAAAAATTTTAATACTCATAATCAAATTATATTAATTAGGTAGGTTTTTATAACACATTACAAATTTAAAGCTATTATTCGTTGAAAAACGTCAAACAGTAAAGAAGTAAATAAATAAAGTTTCGTGCATTAACCCGTAAAAACTAGTTTTATTTACAGTAAAGAAGTGTTGTCAGTAGCTCTGCAAATAAGAAATAAAGCTAAACACATATTTTTATATTGTGGAAATTTTATTCTTACTTAACAATTTTATGTATTTGTTTTTTTTTCGTCTGTTGTAATTAAAATAGATTTTATAATTTGAAAACAAACTGGTGTTTTTATCAGTATGATCAATCATTTTAATTCAATTAAAAGTAATGAAATTGTTTATTTTTTTCAATAAATAATATAATATCATTTAGGAGGCAGAATTTAACCCATTAATGTTTTACTTCCTATAGCACAATCCAACAAAGCGTACAGGACAACTGCACACCAGAACGAGATTTTAATGTTCACATTTACATAAGCAGTGCTTTAGAAAGGATCAGATTCTGTTTTCTGTTGCATATAATTTCATGCTTAAATGGACTTGAAGCTCTAATATTTTAATGTTTTGTTTAGATATTATTGCTTTCAGTACATTTGGGGTCCACATTCCTTGTTCAGCTTTCATGGCACTCACACAAAGTTTTTTTGAATCATAATGGTATTAAACTTAATAATAAATTTTAATACTCCTTTATTTTTATTATTTCATACATTCTAATACAAGCTATGATTGTATTTTAAAAGATTTTTTTATATGAAACATAATTGTTGGTTTGGATCGCAAATATTAATAAATCTCTTTCTGCTAAACTTTTAATTGCATGTGAAGTCACTTGAAATATAATATTTTTTGTCTATGGTACAAGCACTTGCTGAGTTGTAAACTCATTTATTCTGCTCAAACCCCATTTTTATTTATCATTGTGCATTTTGTTCCTTACTATAAAGCTGATCGCACATTTGTCAGGAATTACGCGCCACATTTCCATAAAAACTTTACGAAATGCGGCGAGTACGATGCTGGTGAAACATGCGAGGTTACATAATATGATTGCATAGTAATGTTGTAGGATTATTTAATAAATCGAATTTTCGCGTATATCTTAAGGAGTTTGCGAAAACACCGATAATTAGACAATGACGATGGCATTGCAGTCTTACCCGTGGACCCGAGCACCCAAAAACCCAAGAATATTTATAATAAACCAACGATTCTTTTCGCAATCTTACTGAGGCGACTCGCGGTTTCGCAAAAATCTTATCTTCTTTCCGTAAGATTGTGAAATGTCATCGCAAATGTCTAATTTTATTCGCATTTTTGCAAAATTCCTAATATTTTCGCGAAAATTCGATTCGACCGATTTATCAAGACATCCTACCACACATACAACGCATTCTAAATTGCGGAGCGTACGTTGCTGACGAATGTGCGATCACCTTTATAAGCCAGGCACATTTACGAAAATCTTGCAACTCATTTTCAAATTTGTTTTTTTTTTGTATTGAAAAAATCTTTCAATAGCAACACAATGTGTTTTTTATTTGATGGTATTATGTGAATGTGGCTGGTGAATATTCAAGTTTTGAACTCCTGTAGATAAGGTTTGCGCACATTTGTGCTTAAAAATACTAATAAGTAAATTTATATTTAAAGTTAACATAACTTTCCTGTGACTACTAATATTATCCGCTAAGGACATCCATAAATGTTTAAAAGTTCTCTTTAATTTAAGTTTATTAAACTAAAGAGTACTTTTATTAATAAATAATATTCTTATATGAATTTTCGATATTAATTGATGAGCTGAATAAAGAGGCAAGTTTCCCTACAAAAAATACAATGTTAATACAAATAATTAAATGATTTATGAATACTGAAATAGTAACGCCATGATTGCGATATAAAGTATGATTATACATGTATCTTTTGTGTTCTTTACAAGACAAAAAAATCAACAAGGTGTTTTCGGAAATGTAGAGTTGCCACGTTCTTAAAATACGTAAGCCGAACTTAGCACTGATAAAAAAAAGATAAAAGAAAACCGCCCAAGTGCGAGTCGGACTCACACACCGAGGGTTCCGTACAAACCTGTTGGTATATAATAATTATTAAAAAAATGGCAGTGTTTCCGGACCAATACGACCCAAAAACCTTCAAAAAAAGAGTGTACTCCTTCCTTAAAGGCCGGCATCGCATTTGTGATACTCCTGGTGTTGCAAGTGTCCATGGGCGACGGTGATCACTTGCCATCAGGTGAGCCGTCTGCTCGTATGCCCCCTATAACATAAAAAAAAAAACTAAAAAATTACCACAGTTTCTAAACCTTAACCATAATTCTAATACTTTTCTCTATGGCTGACTATTTTATTATATTAAATTTAATAATTACAAGTATGGAATTACTTTTATTTGCGAGTGTCTAACTAGTACCTAGGTCAAAGTTATCTATCAGTGAGCCAGACATTTTGCGAAATCACCGTCTCATCCTAACGAATGCAGGTTTTCTTTGTAAGACCGCCTACATCTGTGCAGGCAAGCAGGGGCAACTCAAATGGAGAATTTGCATTGCATTGAACATTGCCCCTGCGCCAGGAATGTGAGTAGCCAGCCTAAGTGATTAAAAGAGCTTATATTTGGAAATGACAAGAATGGAATGATAATTCATTACATATATCGATAGTCATTCTTAAAGTCACGGATGTTCGTGCGTCAGCATTGCAACAGGTGTTTAACGATTCGTTC